TTTGGTCTAAATATACAGTTATGCTTATGATTGATGTTGACGTTCAAAGTGGAGGTCTATCTATAAATCAAAACTTTTTGGTTGACTTTGGAAATGAAGAATTCGGACCCGTTTTGGCTCATGAAATGAGATATCCCGGAGGAGACTGTACTTCAGACATATGGATCTGATTTATGAATACATTATATCATATGCTATATTCGGATCAAATTATTCTAAATTTTAAATCATTTTTATAAAATTGTAAATTTGTCAAAAACTAACTAATTTCAAAAGTTTTCAACAAAGTTTGAGTTAAATACTTGATAATTGGTTACTATACTATAGGAACCAAAATTATGCATTTTCAATGCATTTTGCATCAATTTTCCATTCAATTTACAAATACATTTTCTCAAATACAATAAAGAATATAACAACTATTTTATCAGTTTATGCCATAAACTACAGTATATGCCATATACTGCCATATACTATATGGCATTCGTTAAATATAGGATATGATTACTCTTTGACTAATTCATCATTTTTAATGAGTCTGCATATTAAACGACTGATCCAGTTCTGGATTTATTGATTATATAAAATAACTGCTCATAAATCACACAATTTATTAAACAATAATTGTTGGATAATTATTATCAGTTCTTAAAAATAATGTTAAAACAATTAGCAAAAAATAAAATAAAACAAATATTCAAAAATAAATTAACAATTTCTTTATTTATTTGATTTGCAAAATATTTCAACCTTTATTAAGCCCTTAAACCAATTTTAGGTGAAATTTGTTTAATTTATTTAAAGCTACATTTAAACTAATTGTTAATTAAATAAAAAATACTCGACATTAATAGCGCTAATACTTTATGTTACATAAGTTATTATATCTAATCTTTAGTTATAAAATACAGAACATATGTATAACTAATTTTTCAATCTGTTTTTGTATTAAAATAACGATTAATTAAAATAAATTTATTTTTCTTCTTTTTTAAATGTTATTCATTTTCATTAATAATATATAATTATAATAAACGGAGAGAAGACTTGAGACCAGAGGTGGTCAACGAAAAAGCATCAAAAATAGTTGCCTTAAGTTCTATATATGTCGACACTTCAACTGGAATTGGCATTCAATCGGTATGGCGTCGAGTGCTCGTATTTGGAGTTGACATTATTCCTCTGGTTCTGGTGATGATGTGGTGAGTGTTGCGAATAGTGTTGATAATGATGATGGTGTGGCTGTTGAGGCACTGCGTTCACCAGTGGTCGACCCGTTAAGTTGACAACAATCTCTTTAACAAAGTAATCGCTGACTCCGGCACACGAGCCCTCCGCGCACTCAAACGCTAGCTTTAGGTCTTCGATGGCATTGGATTTGGAGTTATTGAGATCAACGCTCTGTCGTTTATAGCGCTGAGCGATCTGTAGAAACCATTTTACAAATCATTTCTATTAATTTCTATTCAGTTTACAGAGTATTCAAAGCATGCAATCAAAGAAGTAAAACAATACCTCATTGAGGACAGGAATAATAGCACTTTGGGCTATGTTTGGCATTGATATGGGACTCGATTTGCTGGTCACTGCACTCTCTTTGTCACTACTATTGCGAGGCTTTTGTATTCGGGAACCACTCGTCGACGAACTACTGCTCGTGTGATTCGAAGTCCTCAGTTCACGATCTCTAATGTCTGCGACGGCAGAACTGGCCATCAGTTTACTCTTGTGTTCGTGAATTTGACTGTTAACTAAACTCTCGTTTTCGGACCGATTGTGTGTCCTTTCATTTGCGTGTTTCTCTTCTTTCTGTTTTGTAACCGATTTCGTTATAACCGACGAATTGTTCCCTTTTTCTATCAATTGATTTCCTGTCGTCTTCTGTAGACATTAATAATAATTAATTTATTAAAGTATGTTCTCATCAATGCATCAGTTGTTTAAATATTTCATTAGTCAATCAATATTTTATGTAATGCTTGAGATTGTGTGACAATCAATCATTTGTTACATACAATAGGATATAAAACAAAGCAATTCTTACAACGTTTGAAGAAGTCTTAGGTGTCGTCTTTTGTTCGCTAATCGGCTGTTGTTTGTCTGGAGTCCTGTATTGAGGCGTTTGTTTTGGTGTCACTTCGGCCACAAATTTTGAGTCTCCGTTAGAGTGACTGCTCTTCTTAGGAGTGACCGACGCTTTAGTTAATTCTCGAGTTAACACTATTTCGTCGTTTTCTTTCATTTTGGGATCAGAAATAGATTCCGAATACAATTTGTTGAGCGCCTGCGGGTTATGTTGTGGTCGTATTGTTAAATCCCATATTAAACTATCAACACTTGAAGTTCCTTTGGACTCATCACTAAATTCAATGTTAAGCCAAATATTAGCAAACATTTAATAAACTTAATGTTTTGGCACAAAAACTCACGAATCGGAAGCCTCTGAATCACTATCGCTATGTCCGCCACCGGCGGCTTTCCAGCGCTTATATCTTTCAATTAAATCAACTAAATATGAATTCTTCTTCGCTTTACGAATGAACGGAAATTTGAGTAACTCTTTAGCGGACGGCCGCTGAATGTTAGGCACAAACAATTCATAAATTATCAATTCATACAATATTTCTGAGACTTACGTTTTCAGGATCTTTGTTAAGACACGACTCGACAAACTCTTTAAATTGTTTGCTATAATTGCCGGTCAGTTGCGGCGGATTGTTCTTCGGGATCAGGAAAAGGACTCGCATTGGATGCAAATCAGAGTTCGGGGGCTCGCCTTTGGCCAACTCTATAGCCGTTATACCCAACGACCAAATGTCGGCCTTTGAGTCATAAGCGGATTGTTTGATAACTTCCGGTGCCATCCAAAAGGGTGTTCCGACAAATGTACTCCTTTTGCTGGTAGTGTTAGTCAACTGTCCGGCGACCCCAAAGTCGGCCAGTTTTACGTCTCCCATCTCTGACAGCAATACATTGGCCGCTATTTTCACACATTTTGCTTCAATTAGTACTTTTCATTGAAAAAGAGTGTAAAAGTAATACCTTTAATATCTCGATGCAGTTTGCGTTCGGAATGTAAATAATCTAATCCTTTAAGCACTTCCCGAAGAATGACCGCAATGTGCATCTCTTCGAAATGTCCGGCTTTCATCAAATCCAGAGCAGAACCGCCGCCCAAATACTCCATTATTATCCATAATTTGGTTCCCTTTAAGTGATCAAAAGAAACTCATTAATAGGACATCAGATATAAACAGATAGATCTCGAGGAATAAGTAATATTTAAGTGATATTTCAGACATTTGTCACATTAGGAGTAGACGAAGAAATGTCGACAAAACACTTACTTTAAGATATGATCCAAAATATTTGGTCACAAAAAGACTGTCACATTGAGACAAAACCATAATCTCTTGTTGAATGTCTTCGATCTCATCCTCGGCTTCTTCGAGATCAATGATCTTAATGGCCACCACTTGTTGCGTCCGATTGTCCACACCTTTAAACACTTCACCAAAAGATCCCTTTCCTATGCGTTCCTGTTTAGTGAATATGAGTTCCGGATCTACTCTCTGGTGATCGAGTCATCGATAGTGACCATCAATCAAATGGATAGCAAACCAGACAATCAGTGAATGGATTAAATGAGTGGATTAACTGCATTGATAACATACCTCATTGTAAGCCATGTTTAGGTCATATAATAATATATACAATAAATATAATAATATTTATAATAAATTGCAATTAATTAACGAAAATATTATCACAATTTGAAACGAAAACAACAAATCAATCAAATGTTGATTTCAATGACGAAAACCAATCATTCATTCATTAATTCATTAATCAATTAATGAAATGAATTGTAAAACAAAATTCATGTAAAATTTCTAAACCAATGTTTCATACGATTTGATAATAGAGTCAATACATCGAGTGCTTGTGTTGTAGTGTTTTGGCGATCATTACATAACAAATACACATATTATACACATATCTACAGTATATACACACATATCGTACTCTTTTTTGCTCACAAACCACTCATTCACTGTTCAAACATTATATTCAAAACACTGTATTTATGTACAGTCTGTACAATAGTCTCCACTAATGTTCACTACAATCCCATATACAGTGTTCACTCATTGACGAGTCATTTGATGGCAAAACTTGACGTCAAACTAACGCACAGTTGTCCGCACATCTCATATATTCATACATTTTCACTCATTATAAGTCATTAATTAATAATTGAAATGCAAATATAGGCATACGTGTAGACATGGATGAGTTTATGGCTAATCCTATAGCCATTTAATTGTGATCGAGTGAGAGGTTATGGAGGAGTTCAATGACCGGGTGTGAAGTGCCAGTCCTCGCATACAAGTGCATTGTCGGCCCTTTAGGCACACACTCTGGCCATTCACTTCAACACTCTCTCACATTTATATACTTTTAATACATTTTGAATGTTTTGCAAAGATTTATTCATAATTTACCATTAAATCAAAATAATTAGAATCTCTTTAATTGCATGTTTTAAACAATTGTCAAAACAATGGTTTAAATAAATAATTTAAGCGCAAAATTATAGGACAAATAAATCAAATTAGATCTTCAATTATAGTACAGGTATAGAGTGTAAGAACAGATGCTATGGTATCTGAAGGTTGTTCATGATCTCACGTACGGCCAAATATATGGGACAATCGGCGCCTACAATACAACACAAGCAAACATTTAATTAATTTAGTCAATGGGTTGGCTGTTATGTAAATACCAGTTCCGGCGTATTCTGCAAATCGTTTCAACATATTGTTAATGACAGTGAGTGCCGGCGACTGAGCGTATGTGTTCTCCCGTCCAGAACCGGCCACTTGTATTGAATGAACGTTCATATCGTAAATAAAGGGAACAATTATAGACAGGGGTTCGGCATTCATGGCGTGACCAGGAATTGGCATTCGAGTGAATTGTATCTGAAAATCATTTCACAATTTAATGCTTTAGCTATAAATGTGAATATATTGAGAATTATAGTGAATACTAACGAATATAAGCATTTTGCTTTTGAACATAAGACACGCAGACATTCCCGGAGAGCCAATGGGAGGCGCCGCCGGAGGTATAGTCAGACACCATTGCAGTGACCACTTCAGTGTTCTGTCGGGGAACTAAACGCCAAAAACATGTTAGGTATGAAAAAGACTGTTATCTCTTATAGCCATTACATACCAATTCTAATCGCATTAATTGAATGCAATCCTTAAGTATTTTGATGGGAGCGTTGAGAATCCATTTATAGGCCAGAAATGCATTTGGTTTGAATGGCGCGCAAACAACCTATTCGTCAATCACAACCATTTTAATTATATTTACCATAAAAATTAGATTTAAATCAATTACTTTGGTTTCAAAGAATTGTTGAAGTAATTCCAATTCCTCTCGTGTCCAGTGATTAAATTCGGGCAACGGTTGGATCTTTATATGCATCGACTGTTATGTAAATATAAAATTAATTACAATTAAAGTTCTTATGATTGGTATATGAGATGTTACGAAACCTGCATCGAAGTCGGGTCTAAACTGATTTTGAAAAACATAGACTCGTTTTTGAATTGAATGACTCCGGGTTCTGGTGTCGCCAAGAGTTGGAACTAATGGATAATTCAAATCATTAAAGCCATTGCAAAGGATTGACAATTGCTTTAAAACATACGCTTTCGTCTTGAGAGACAGCCCTTTGGAGATTACGTCTCATATAAATACATCCGAGAAATCTCTCCAATTGAGACATAGCATAGAAGACGCTGTTATTTTGGGCCGGAATCGCTATATTTTCGAGACTTTGGTTGGATCTGCACATCATATCAAAGCCCTGATGTGTTAAGAGAGTAGGTATGGCTGCGGCCCACGATCTCTGTGGTAATATTCGTGTTGCCATCGAAGGGTTACCCGAGTTGTGCAACATATTTGCCGAATGGTGTTGAGAACCAGACATAGTCTGCGGACTATTAATATTAGACATGAGGTGCGCCTGACTTATGCCCGGACTCTGCGAGGGAGCGATCGAACGCGGAGACGGACGAGGAAGTGATGGACTGCCGGGCCATGCATTGGGAGCCGGAGATGGCATCGAAAGATTAGATGCCGGCATATTTGGTGCCGTAAATGGAGATCCGATGGCACTATTGATGTCTGTCTGAGAACCACTATTGGGGAGGTATTGAGAGGCAGGAGATTGAGAGTGAAATTGATTGGAAGGCGAAGGCATGGGCAGGAATGAAGGCGACGGCGCGTGCATTGCATTCATTGGCGAATTAACGCCAAACAGATTGGCCGGTGACTGATCGGGAACAGGCATTGATGGCGACGGCGCCACCTGATTGGATGAAGAGCTCACCCCATGTCCTGACATGCTATGAGAGGGCGGCGAAGAGAGTGGGAAAGCACCGGGAGATGAAGTGAATCCAGATTGAGATAGAACTGAAGTATGGGGTGAAGTAGGCGTGTGTGGGTTCGAGCCCTGGGCTGAAGGCATTGAGTGAGTTATAGGACGACCGGAGTTCTCATTAACTCCCTTAGAAGGCGATGATGTCTTCATCTGAGAGGTTGCGTACAAATATGATTCAACGGATTCCATGTGAGGCATAGGGGAGGGCGGGTTGTCGTCTTCCGTCTGAGATAAACGTCTCATTTGTGTCGTCTTATCGACAAATTTGTTTAAAAACGCCTATAATTGAAACCATTTGTAATGAAATACCAAATAAATACATATAAAATATGTTTGAAATACTTTTAATCCCTGAATTGGTGTCAATTCTTCCATAACCCTCACTTTATCAAAAAGACTGAGAGCGCCGTCACGTATGGCTATAGTATTATCCGAGTATATGATAACATCCAAACAATATCTAAAATACAACAATCAATTAGTTATATAACAAATCGATGCAATCATTGCAATCAAAACATTACATATTTCTGTAAATAATGCGAATGTGTGTCGAAGACTGAGGGATAATACAAAAGGCCTGAACTGGTAGTTGAGGTCTACTATTGATTACTCCAAGCAATGGAATTCCACTCAAACATTGAATCGTTAAAAATGGATTTAAAGTGTAGTTCAATATTTGGATCAACTGAACGATCGAAAGGTGTTGATTGAACTCGTATTGGAGTTGAGAACAAACCAAAACATGTGGGTTAGAATCGGCCAAAGCCTGACCAACACATCCAAAACATAACTGAAATCTCTTTTCAGCCGATTTCCAATATATAGAAACCTAATAAACATATAAAACATTAGTCTAAAAATATAGTGCAAACAAAAATATAATTACAATAAATGTTTTATTGATTCCATAGCCTATAATAATCTTCTTATACGAAAATGATTTGATGTCAAACAAAGTGTTCAACTGATTGTTGTTTTGCAAATTTGCGGCAAATGTTTTAATCACATCATAGAGTCAAACTGTGCGTTAGTTTGACGTCAAGTTTTGCCATCAAATGACTCGTCAATGAGTGAACACTGTATATGGGATTGTAGTGAACATTAGTGGAGACTATTGTACAGACTGTACATAAATACAGTGTTTTCAATATAATGTTTGAACAGTGAATGAGTGGTTTGTGAGCAAAAAAGAGTACGATATGTGTGTATATACTAAGGATGGGGGCAATAATACATATGTATAATACATGTGTATTATTCCATGTATTATTCATGTATTATACATGGCAAAATTTGCCATACATACAACATGGCGTCAAATATTGACATTATTTGCTAAAAATAGACAAAATTTGCCAAGAATATGTTATTTTATAAATTTATTTTTAGATTATAAAAAAGTAAAT